TGAAATGAAAATCAAAACCTCAGAAGGTGCCAAAACTTTTGAAGTATCTTGTTCTCAGAGGTCAACTTATCAGAACCTCTGACGCTTCTATCAGAGGCTCTGTGGGTTTGAACTGAGCAAGTACTCATCTCTCTAAGGATTTTCAAACCGTTTAGGTAAATAAAGGTGTAACATGATAGAAGACGCCGCACATATCACAGAGACTCTGTTACCCTTAGGCCTCTGACAAAACTCTCTTATAGTTCTCTACTATTGATATGGTGCGCGTGGTTCTGTGGATAAGGGTTAAAGCAAATCACGCGCGTGTCAGAAAACGGGGGCGCACGTCATYAATCGTGCGTCTTCCCAACATCGCGTGTCATATTTTTGATTCGTCACTCCCTATAGCCACTTATCACGTTATTTCTCCCAATAAACGGTTCGCTTTCAAATCCCTCACTACAAATACCCCTTCCCCCTAAAACATAAACCTTTACATTACTCCTTACTCCGACGAACCTCAWGATTTCCGGCCAAACCTGCAAATATGTCTTCCAGTTCATCCGCCTCCGCTCAATCTGTAAATGTCTCAAGAGACAACGAAGTAACCCAATCACAGGCACTACCTTCTCATGCCCTTTCATTTTTCCAAAATCGATATGAAAGAGTGGTCCTGGTAAAGAAACCAAATAACTATTATTTCGCTCCTTCTACATCTGGCTTTCCTGAATTCACCTATCCTCTCATTGAAATCCTTCGCAACCATCCTTTATACTATGCTCTCGCAGCAACTAAACCTACCCCTAAAACATATATTACCCAATTTTTACTCAGTTCTTATACTACTACCCTCGACAATTCTGGTTTAAGCATCATAGGTTATGCTTCTCATCCGACTGTGAAATCGCTTGTCCCAATGGAACTAAATGTACCTACCCTCCTTGGCAACTCTCAATTTGGATACCTTCGCCCCAACCCCAACAGACGCTGAACTAATTCAATTTCTTGAATTTCACTCCTACACTGCCAAGACAAAAATTGTTAAGAGGACTGAATTCAAACGGAAAGGCCTTCCCCCTATTTGGAACACTCTGTTTTCGGTAGTAAATTGTTGTCTAACAGGGAAGGTCGGCAGCCATGACCAAGCCTCACACGCCATGCTTTCCATTGTATATGGAATCTATTTCAACCTGCCCCTTGATTACGTACAGCTCATCTTCGAAGACATGGTGGGATTAATTAAAAAGAAGTGTGCTACTCAAAGGGGTGAGAAGTCCAAGGTGAAGGCACAAAAGAAGGCCAAAGAGGACCTCAATCATCCAAATCTAATCCTTCAAAGGTTCTTTGATTTGGTCTTTGGCGATATGTTAGCAGAGAAGCTTCCCTCTGCAGAGCCTAATGCGCGACTGTATCCAATGAAGGAGTTCCACCCCACAGAGCATGAGCTAGGGTACAGAAGCCCAAGACCTCTATCAAAAGCCATGCTTAAATACCTTAGCCATAGAGATAGGAAAGCGTACAGACGTGGATACAGGAGGCCAGAGCCGGTCCCTGAAATACCTCCATGCATAGGTATCCCCTTAGGAGAGAAAGTGCAAAAAATGAGGGTTGAGGGAAGAAGGGAGGAGTCAGCAGAGGCTAGAGAGGTGAGTGAGGACAGACCGAGAGTAGCAAGTCCCCCACCAAAGAAGACAAAGAAGACTCAGAAGGATGTTGACTCTTCTGAGAAAAATAAAGGTAAGAAGAGACCCACAGAAGAAGAGGGTCCAAGCAGTCCTCTACAAAAGCCAAAGAAGAAGAAATCAAAGAAGGCCCAACCCTCAGAGGTTGTGGTCACAGAGGCTGTACTCCAAGAAAGCCCGTAGAGGCTGCTCCAAAGCGCAGAAGGTTACGCAAGGTTGTTCACGAAGAGTCCCAATAGAGCAGATACACGATGTCATCTTCCACATCCAACAAGAATTTAAAGCGCCCACAGAGGTAGCGGATTTGGGGACAGAAGTCGTAATAGACGAGGAAGAAGAAGCGTTGGAGATAGAAGAGGGAGTAAAAGATGCCGAAGGCACACATTCTATCCCCCTTTCTAGTGCTACCCACATTTCGAAGGGACCCTGTTCTAGAAGGAACCCCTATTGAAAAAAGCGTGCACACGTTGAGCCCTAAACCAGCAAACCTCGCAGAGGACATTCTTTCGTCCTCTGTCGAATGCACAGTCTTGGAACCACAATTTACTCCAACATCCTCTCAAAAGGATGCTGGTTTTATAATAAGAGTCTATTCGCCCAAGGACTCGTCACAACCCAGAGAGGCATCCGTTGCCCCTCCACACTTGAGTGAACAACCAAGTTATGCATCAGAGGCATATGAGAGATTCACAGAGACTGCGGGTCTAGAATGCCCAAAGTCTCCACTCGATCCCTCTGCCAAGTTAGGCTCTGAACCTACTGGGTACGACATTGACAGAACACTGGTAGGCTCTCCAATTGGAGATGTTCGAGGATCCGGTGGAAGTCCCCCAGCTGACATCGACAAACCAGTCACTGAGGGTGCCTCACACTCCGAGGCTACTAGGTCACCATGTGTTGGTGATCTAGGTTCCCAGAGTACTTATGTGACAAAGGAGGAGTTACAAACCTTCGCCACATAAGTATTCAAGAGGATGGATGAGTTGAAAAGCTTGTTCTCCCCCCAACCGGAGACAGAGGCTCTTGCACCGTTAACAGAGGCTCTGAAGGAGTTGACTTCCATAACTTCTGAGCTCAAGGCAACCGTATCAGCCCATCAGAGCTCTGTCCTCAACAAAGACGACCTCACAGAAGCTTTTAGCGCCTTGTCTCTCAACCCTTCTTCAATCTAAAAGCCCCAGACAGAACTAACAGAGGTTGCCGCCTAATTCGCTTGAAGGACGAGATCAAAGGGATGTTCTCCTCTACGGTCACATATGGCATTGACTCTAAATCCTCTAGGGCTAACATTAACCATCTAGCCACTCGCAGAGAGCTAGACGCAATGGTTGAAGCCCTTGGAGAGATCATGCAGAAATACACCGACCAACTCCTTATGGAAGCCCGAGCAGGCAACGAATCTATAAAAGACTGCATGAAGCAACTCGTCAAAGAAGGTGATAACTTCATAAATGAGATATATCGCTGCATCTCTAAAATGAAATGGGCCACAGAGATGGATATCAACACTGCCTCGGTGATTGCTGAGGAGGTCATTCAAAAGATGGAGAAGGCGGCTTCCAAAGTTTTAAAGCGATTGAAGAAGGCTCCCCTTACTACTTGCAAGTCCGAGGCCACTAAAATCCATGATGATCAAGGCGGTGATGACCATGATCGTCATGAGGGGGGAGAAGAAGAAAGAGGAACCAAAGAAGACAACCTTTGCCAAACCACTAAAAATAATAGACTCTGCTGCTTCCCTATTCTCAAAAGACAAATCTCCAGAGCCTAAGGGGAAAGGCAAGGGTAAAGCAGTAGAGGAGTCGCCACAGAAGGGGTCAAGCTCTGAATCACCAGAGGAGATCTATGAAGAAGAGTATGATCACCCGGATCTTGTCGAGCTCTTAAGGCGTCTTTGGCAGAGGCACAGGCGAGAAAAGGCAGAGTCCCCATCCATAGAGTTGGAGAAGGCTCATCTTCCAATCTCACGAAGATACCAGAAGAAACGTCCACGGGTACATTTGACGCTCTGGTAGGAACTGTCAAGCCTATCCTACCAGAGGGGTCTACCCAGAGGCCTATAGTAGAAGAAGAATCCAAAATGCCAGAATCTGCCACGGTGGGGAAGGTATCTGAGATACTTGAATCTATGAGCAAGATTCCTACACAGAAGGTACGCACAGAGCCTGTAACCACTGTTGAGGAGATTCTGCGATGGCGTTACTCAGCTGTGGACACAGAGCCCCCTTATGACCCAGAGCTTACTGGTATGCCCTCTGCCATTGCAAAGTTCCACTTCTCGAAASTCACAAGGCCACCAGAGCAGGTCTTCTCAGAGCATGTGATCACCTCTCTCAAAACCATATCTCCACGCACAATGCCAAAGAAGACCGTGCTATATGCTCAATATGTGGTAAAAAAGGATGACAGCAACCTATAT